TGTAGGTTTTCACCTGATGCCCATATGGTAGTGTCATCAGCAAACAAAACCACTTTCACTAAATCAGAAACCTTGCATATATCATTAATGTATAATATAAATAATTTAGGTCCCAAAACAAAACCCTGAGGCACTCCACATACGATGTCCGGCTCACTCGATTGGTATTCACCCAACTTAACAAATTGACGCCTCTGTGTCAAATAACTTCTAATCCATTTCTTACCTGGCAGGTTTTAGCCAATCAAATATGTCCTTCCTGTTGACTAAGTCTATTGTGTTAATAACCACAGTAGGTGATCACAATCTCCATGGCAACCTTCCATGACACCATCTCTCATATAAAAATACTCTCCAAAGCTATGTGCTTTATTAAACTTGCTATAAGGCCAAATAAATTATCTGTTACACTGATGTCTTTCTAAGTGGCCAGCTGCTGAACAAATTTTTCTACCACATTAACCATATGGGTCAAAAGACTCAGTGTCTTTTAATTATAAGTCCTGTTGTATCTCCACAGTGATTTGGAAATTAATTGCTTCTTCCAAAGAATTATTTTAAATAACTTCAAAATATCTGGTTTCTTTTTTATGTAACCGTGGGAAACCTTTGGTTTTTGGCATTTACAAAGTTACTGCAACATTCATCAACCACTTCCTCCTTTTGTATTGTTGCTATTTTCTGCCAAGGGCGGATGTGGAATTCTGTCTTCTGCTAGTGCCACAATCTGTTGTAATGCTATCTGCCTGTGAATCACACCCACACCAGTGCATGCAGATTCAGATAGTGTTCTTCCTCTTATCATTTTGTAGCTTCAGTGGGTGTACTCAACATAGAGCTTTAGCCTTGACTCCTGCCACATGAGAACCTCTTTAATATTCTCACTGTCCCATAATGATCTTTTTGCCTGATTATGTCCACGATGATGACGTGCCCGCTACCTGAATGTAACTGAGACAAGTACTGAGAGCTCATGTTAAAATCTCCCATGCTATCACTTCCTTTCATAGAGAAGAAACACATGTTTCCGACTCCAGCAGCAGCTCCAGTGCCAGCTCTCCTGTAGACATGGCGGATGGACAAAATGTATGCACACTGGAAATAAACAGCTCTACTGAGAGGTGAGATTCTTACTTGCACTACTGCTCTCGTTCAACACTCCCTCTACTTATAAACAACACATTTGAAACTATGGCACCTGCTGCCAATCAAAATGTCAGAAACAGCTTTTTAATGGCTACAGAGAACAAATAAAAAAGACATCACCCCATTTCTTACATGACTTAGTAAAATAAATATAAAGAAAGGAATGATGTAACAAGTGCTGAAATGTCGCTGGACTGGTTTAAGTGGTTTCTGGAGGTTTCCAAAAGCAGACTTTAGCTGAAAAATAATTATAACCAGCACTCAACCCGAAACATTTATAGCTCAAACAACTTTGCAACCAGAATTTAAATGGGTTGTTCAAAGACAATTAGATGTCCTTACCTATACAGACACTCACACCAGTATAATGGAAGAAGGCGATCATATGAAGCACAAAATTCACCTTTTATTAGCTTATTCACCACATCACAAACAACCTAAATTTCATCTGAGGAATTAAAGGTGGAGTTGGAGTCGAGACGTCGCTGAAGAAATTATTGTAACGCAAACAATGACTGTTCTTAGGAATGTGGGACCTAAGGAAACGGTCACCTCTTACCGTTCTTACAAGTCAGCTATTTCAATTGCTTTGGGTGTGAAGTGTCAAGATTTAGATGCATATTAAAATATGTACAATGCAATTAAACATTTGTTGTGTTTTTCTCAAGCCTTGGCCCTATTATGCCAGAAGAGAGAGATATCAAGGTCAAGCAGGCAGATTTGAAAAAACACCTGACACTAACAGAAGTGGATGGGAAACCAAGGTATGTTTGTCTGTGAAAGACAAAATTGCCTCATTGTTGTTGGACTGTTGACTGGACAGCTTAGACTGAGAAATATGGGAAAGTGTAACCTTTGCAGCCCAGAGGAAAAAGAATACAGGGACAAATGCTCCCTGTTCAAATTTTTTGTTTTTCTATATTCGTAATCATTAATGAAAACACTAAGACCACATATGTGTGTGCCACACTCACTCCTGTCTGTTCTACTGCCGGCCTGTCTTCATCTCACAGACTTCATTTTAAAAAACAGTTCACATCAGGTGATGCTGGTAGCAATGCTGTTTGTCCTCATTTTTCCTTTTGCAGGTAGAAATGTCAGGCTTAATGCAGCACTGCAGGAGTGGTGGGTTTCAGAGCTGTACTGTGTGGAAATTAGGGCATGTAGTCAAAGTGAGATTTACAAACAGCACTTAACTATAATTGTACAAAGTCCATATTCTCAAACTCCCTTAAGACCTAGAAAATTGCACTGGTTTACTTCTCGGCTACTAAGACAAACACTATTTATAGAAAATCTGGATTTCATATGGATGTATAGTGTGAATATAATACAAAAAACAATAAATCCATAGTACAAATGTCAAATAGTGCATGAAGGAAAGCTACAGAATGACTCTAAAAGCATGTGCTTGTGTGTCACAGTGTGTCATTGTGGACAGGCCAGCCACAAACAGTGTGCCTGTTCCACAGAGGAGACCAAATTATGGCAATTAATGACCTGCATGTCAGCAGCGTGGATGAGTACAACATGTTTATCAGCAAGTCACTCAAGAGCGAGGTATACTGAGTGTTCATACACAAAACACTAGCACATCGTCGCTGTTTGTATACATCCGTGCAGTCCATCTGACAGGCAAATGCGTTCTCTTTTCAGATAAAACTGACCATCCTACGTCTACCTGGATGCCAGCCTCTGCATTCCCCAAACTGCCAATGTACTGAGTGACTGGGAACAGACTGTCAGAGATGAGACAGTGACTTCTTTTGTCTTGAGTGTTTTTAAAAGATTCTTTGAGGCACCTCCTGTTTTCATTTGGTGGAATCATGCCAGATTACACAACAGTATTTTCCAAGGTTGTGGCCAATTCCCATTGATCTGACACTCTAACCTTTCGTTTACTTTACTGAAAGTATAGACAGAAAACTTAATGTGAAGATACAGGTTATAAATGAAGGATATTCAAATTACTTTACCAATCTCATACAGCATGACAGAGATTATACGTACATAGAAAAATTACTTTACCAATCTCATACAGAATGACAGAGATTATACGTACATAGAAAAATGCGTGGTGTGGAAACTGATTTGTATGATTCACAACAGGTTGATTGTCTTGTTTTTACTGTAGATGTTTGCTCTCTAAGTTGTCCGTAGAAGGAAACAAATGTATTTCCTCATACTGCATAAATGATGTCAAAAAAAAAAAAAAAAAAAAAAGGAGCCCAGATAGGTGTGTACATGAGATAAAAAGTAAGCTGTGCGAGACGCAGTGGAACGAGTGGTGCAATGGGCACAAGGTTATTCACAGATTTCTTAAACACAGGACACCAAATAGTGCTAACAATAAAAATGTTTTCACACTTTAATCCAAGATGACAGGAAGCAGCAGTGTTCATCTGTGGTTTAAATAATATGAAGGGCATAAGCCAAGATGCTCTCAGTCAACATTTATGATCCAAATATAGTCATTCAGTTATTTTTGATGCGTAAAGATATAGCCTACAGTACTGCAATAAATTCTGAATCTACGTTTGTATCATACAACAGCTCAAGGAAAAACTGAATTGCATGACTAGTTATGAATGCAACCACCCAGAAAAGCAGATTCATATCCAGTTTGCTCAGTCTCTAGTGCCTGCAATAAGGTTTCCTTCTATTTCCTGATAATTACACTTTACTGAGAGTATAAATAGAAGGGTACGGTAACACTGCATGTTAAAAAGTCTCCTCTGTATATATTCTGTTAGTAACGACCTACACCAACATTTATAATTTCTTTTTACTTATCTTGAGAATAATTTGGCATTAATGAGGGGTAGATGAGTAAGATGTAAGAAGAGACCAGTGTTTCCTGCATTTCACGCCTGAGGAAGAGTCCTGTAAATTAGTATGCAGACAGGATGGTGCAGCACCTTGGGCTCTGTTTCACCTATTTCACTCTGATTTGAAACAGATAATGTAGGTTTAATATAACTTCTCTTTAAATTGCCTAGTAAGCAGTGCCACTTTCGAACAATGACATCAAATGGTCTTTATCTGCCACTTGATGTGCTGCAAAGCAATCTGAGTTTTACATTTAAAATGCTTTTTTAAAATTATATCCACTGACCAGTGTCCATGAAGGGCAAAGCCAATTTTTGCCTCTAAACTCTGAACATCAAATGACATTATCATCAGATACTGTCAGTATTGAGACGAGTGATTTTTTTTTGTCCATGAGATCATATCAGCCAAGTTTTAATGGCACTGTTACTGTATATGGGTCGAACATAGACATTTTTCAGAACATTTATTTTTAAAGGCCATTTTTCAACTGTGATTTTCAAGATGTGCTGTATTATAAATACATGTTATTATAAAGAAATGCATAATTTGCAATGGTAAAGCAAATACAGGATGTGTTGGGACACTTTCATTTGTAAAATATTAAAATATTACTACTGTCAAAATGATAACCTTTTGTATTTCTGTAACAGCTTTTTGTTGGACTGTGGGATAGAAGAGACAGGTTTTACTTGTCACCTGTTCTTTTTGCACCTACATAACAGGCTTCAGTACTTACACAGCAAAATTAAATAACTGTGGAACTATTTGTAAAACTAAGCAACAAAATTGAATTTTCCCAGTTGCTTTGTTTCCAAAATCCATAAAATTGAGTAGAAATTAAACCATGTAAAGTTTCAAGTGCACATTTCATTGCTGTTTCAAGACCCACAAAACGGCATTTTTACCTTTAGTAATCCTGTTTGCTTTTCAGGCATTATTGGTTCATTGTTCTTTTCACTGAAGGAAGATTAAGAGCCAAAGGGTACCTGTACAAAGCTTATCTTGCTCAGGAGGATGAATGCTTGAAGGTCCAACCGGAACATCCAGTTTCCTTCCTTATCTCATCACCCTTCAGAACTAAACATATGCAGTCATCACTATCATCATATTTTACTAATACTGTACAGGATTATATAACAAAAGATTTTCTCCTACTCTCACTCCCTTTTTGTTATTTATATGATAAACTCCCCATTATTTCTGGATATTCTTTTCAAAATAAGTTTCCATTTAAGCACTCCAGTCAACCCAATTTCACTCATGCCTGAGGGAAGAATACCATATGCCATTATTATTAGAAATGGCCAAAAAAAGAAGGGCTTGCTGGGAGCACAGTGGTTTTTACATCAGTCGCAAAGGACAATGGGAGACAAAGATAACACAGATGTGATATAAAACAAGAAGCATTAATAAGAGGTGAGCTAAAATGTCTAGATGTGGCTTTAAAACAGCTGTTTCCTAGGCAACTTTCTTCATTAACACTAAGTTATGTACTCATAACAACTGATGGAAACTTGCACAAGTCTTTAGTGTTCTTGGTGTATGCCAAGAAGTTCTTACGGTCCCTTTAAGAAAGTATTAAATGAGAAAAAGAAATCATTGGTAGATTAAATTGCTAATTATACTACTATTATACTACATACACTGTGATATACTGTAGGAATGTACAGTGGTTACAATCTAGATTTTAAGGTCAACATTCCTCTTCACTCTGGGACCTGACATCGAACACACACACAGCTTAGGCAGATGTGATAAGCTGAAGATGTACCCAATCTTTTACAAAGATTGAGATATTAAACACTACACTACATCTCTGCTGTCTCAGAGGTAAACTATCAACAGTTCTCACAGCACGCTGTTCAAAGCAACCTTGCATTTTCAAAGCCACTACAAAACCCAAACAGGAGTTATGTATGGGCATGTCCCAATTGCGCTGCCAAGTTGGCACTCCAAGACTGTGTCATTGACTCAGCACTTTGAGCTCCCATTGACTTGTATTGCAAACAATAAAGCTGAATCAATTAAAAAGTATAAATGTTATAAAAATGTTGAGTACAAGCAGGGATGTCCCTGAAGAGTTGAACAGATGACCTGTATAGCTGAAAGTATGCTGGACTTATAAAGACTTATATTACAGCATCCACACAGTTAAGCTCAACTGTAACCTGAACCACAGTGCAATTACTTTTGACACAGGTTAATATGTACAGATTAATGTGGCAAAAAAGAAATGTTGAACATTAAATTTTATTATCTCAAACATAAAATTTGATTAAATACAAAAGACACATACAAAAAAAAACAGGAACTGTACAGCTTCAAAGAAGCACACTGGTGACAAACAGTGTCAACACTGGAAATGGCCACAGCAGGCAGCCACACGTCCCATTAATTTGCTGTAGCTCCAATGTAAAATGCTTTTGGATGACACAGGTCTACTTGTGGTCATGATGCATGTATGAACTGAGATCATGTTTACATAAAGCACCTTCCAGAGTAATTTGAACTAAAAAAAAAAAAAAAAGAACCACGTTAGTTATTGAAGTTGTATGTTTTGCTGCACATTGAAGTGGTATCGACATATTTTTATAGATCTACAGTCTACTTTATCACAGTCCTCTGCTCTAAAATGCTGTTGTTATGGACTAAAAGGTAATAAAATAAGTACTGTTAAAATGTGTTAATACAGCCTTTGAAATACTGAGCATGAACTGGTTTTGCTCTTGTTACCGAGGAGCAGCAGAGATGATCTTGAGAGTAGCTGCAAATCATTTATCACTAAATAAACTACAGTTTGGCTTTAGTTTCCATGAGCCACTCACTAAAGCACTTCTCCATAGCCTTCCTGCTAGCCCAGCTGCCATTATTGACTGTAGGGATGATCTTGAGAGGCTGGAGCCACTGGACGAAACGCTTTAACTCCAGAAAACTGCTGTGTTCGCTGTATGGGATTCCTGTCAAGAAAACAGGAATTTCCATGATCTTGTAAACAGATGTTGATACTTTAAACAAATCTTTGCATTTGTCAAAGAAAAAAAATTAACAAAGCCTCGCCAAAAAAAAAAAAAAAAAAAAAAAAATTTTAAGCCTGAAGATTACCCACAGTTTTTTTTTTCCACAAGGTTATTTCAAATGTCAGTTGTAATAATCACAATTTGTTTATAAAAAGAGACAGGCCGGCAGTGATTTCTCCATTAGAAAACATCAAGCTCAGTAAAAACAGAAGAACTATTGTTTGAGGTAAAAACGCCGTCACTGAGCCAAACAGGTTTGTCAGACAAGCAGCAGGGCAAAGTCTTGGAAGAGGACCCCAGATGTTCAACAAGGTGACCTGCAGGCCCAGACTGGTGCCCACATTTCAGAAGCTGAAACATTAAGCTGCCTCCATTTTGATCTCCCTTCGCCCCTGCACAGGTTTAATGTGCTCCACAGATCTAGCTGAAACTAAGCCCACTCAAGTATGGATTTGATCCTCCCACATGCAGAGGCCAGTACTAGGAGCTGCAGTACTGTAGCATATGGCCAGGGAGAGCATGGACGAGGAGATAAACAAGGCAGAGAAAGAAACAGAGCAAACTCAAACCAGATGGTTGATGATGCTGATGAGTCTATTCAGAACACAAAACAAAATGGAGGACACCAAGAAAACAAGGATAAATCAAGTCATGACCCATTTCAGTGCCAGGATTTAATCCTAGTTAAATCTCTAGACCCAGGATCCTTTTGCTCATGCGCCCCTTTGTCACCCAAAACTGTCCCAAGGCCTAATGTTTATCCTCACACTCTTCTCCTCTCCCTCCCCCCCCCTCCCCCCACTGTC